CCAGGGGACTGGGAGGGTCAAGCCAGTGCACGGGACCGTGGTCATCCCTCCCTCCCCCAAACACAACAGGTACAGGCAAACGCGCTCCACCCACATACAACAAGGAGAGACAGACTGACACCGGTAGGAAAAGCCAGCCGACTTGGTCTCAGAGGGACGTGGAAAGGCACGCCAGGGCCTTGGCTCACCTTGGAGGCCAGCTCTGACCTTTGACACAGGATTTTGGGTTTTGTACAAGAGAAGGATATGAAGCAGGGGGGCAAGCAGGCCAGGCAGTGAGGCATTCGACTCAGTCATGGACGCGCCTCTACATGAGGATTTGGGGCAGAGAGGAGAGTGGATGGAGTAGACACTCGTGCCCAGGGCCAGGTCTGGGAGGCATGCAGTTGTGCCATGGCACAGAGGGCTGTGAGACAAGCAGAGGTGCAGACACTATGGCCTGGCATAGAGGAGGGCACTGTGCTCGCTGCCAGCTCTACAGATCCTTCACCTCCCTAACGTCTGTCCTGGCAGGGCCCTGGCCTGGTGCCGCTTGTCCAGGGACCTAAGGAGATAGCTAAGTCCGTCCCCACACCACTGGGTCTGCATCCACAGCATTCTGGAGAATTCCCTGCTTGCCCTTTCACTCTGGTATAGAGGTGGGGGCCTTCAGTTTGCTGGGGATCATGTTTATGAACTTCCCAGTGGGCTAGGGGCCATCCTCCCCATGCGGCTGGAGCGGCTGCTCCCACTGCCCTCTACACCCAGCAGCCCTTCCATGCTGCCCACCCTGCCCCCGTCGTGGCTCCTACTGGAGCTGACTTGGACTTTATTGCAAGGATGGGGATGTCCACAGCCCATTGAAACTCTGGCTGCTGAGGGAGGGAGTGGAAATGGCCCTCCAATATTCAGGAGAGCCGCCTGTGCCTCAGAGAGGCCCAGCGGGTCAAGGCCCACTAATACCTATTTTTTTTATTAGTATAATTTTCATTCCTTAATATTTCTTTTAAAACTTGGAGTTTCAAAGTCTCTCCCCTTCTCCCTGCCCATCCCCACAGCGTCATTGAGACGGCTGTATTTGCAGTCATGCAAAACAGAGCCATAACACTCATGGTGGGAAAGAAAACATAGACAAAAAGAGTCAATACAAATAAAGTGAAAAAAAAGAGTTGCTTCAATTTCTCTTCAGACACCATCAGTGTTCTCTCTCTGGGGATGGATAGCATTTTTCATCCTAAGTCCTTCAGCGTTGTCTTGGATCCTTCCTTGTAGTGCTGAGAAGAGCTAAGTCATTCCCTGCTGATCATCTACAATATTGCTGTGACTTTGTACCCAGTACATTTCACTTGGCATGAAACCTGTGTAAGTCTTTCCAGGTTTTTGGAGAGCATCATGGCTATCACTTCTTGTGGTATTTATATGTTAGAAAAATTTGGTCTTTAGCAGAGAAACTTGCTTCGAAAATCTTTTGACATTTCATATTGCTGCGTGTATTTCTTTCTTTCTTTTTTTTTCTTTTTGGTTAGGCAAAGGGGTTAAGTGACTTGCCCAGGTTCACACAGCTAGTAAGTGCTATGTGTCTGAGGTTGGATTTGAACTCAAGTCCTCCCTGATTCCAGCGCCAGTGCTCTATCCTCTGTGCCACCTAGCTGCCCCAGTTCCATCCTATTCCCCTACCCGCATTTCTTCTGTTCTCTCTCTCTCCTTTCACCACGTCCCTCTTCAATTGTTTTGTTTCTGATTACCACTTACCCCCATTTGCCCTCCCTTCTTTCACCTGCCTTCTCTTAAACCCTTCACCTTCTATTTTCCTCTAGGGGAAGATTCATTCCTATACCTCTTGCCTGTGTATCTTCTTTTCCAGTTACATGGGAAAACAATTTTAACATTTCTAGTTAAAACTTTGAGTTCCAAGTTTTCTCCCTTGCTCATTCCCCACCCACCCTCACTGAGAAGTAATTCAATATACCTTATACCTCTGTAGTCATGTCAAACACTTGCATAATGGTGATGTAGTGAAAGACTAACTACATTTCCCTCCATCCTATCCCACTCCCCTGTTTATTCTATCCTCCCCTTTCACCTTGTCCTTCCACAAAAGTGTTTGCTTTGACTCCCCACTTCCCAATCTGCCCTCCCTTCTATCACCCTACCTCTTTTCCCCTTCTCTCCTACTTTCTTGTAACAGAATAGACATTTCCATACCCAATGCAGTTGGGATGCTATTCCTCCTTATACCAATTCCAATGAGAAGAAGTTACACTCCTTTTCTCTCACTTCTCCCCACTGCCCCTCCACGGTTCAAGCTTTTTCTTACCTAATTTACCCTATTCTACCTCTCCCTTTCTACTTCTCCCACTACATTCCCGTTTCACTCCTTCGCTTTATCTTTTCCATATCATCCTTTCATATTCAACTCACCCTGTGCTCTCTCTCTATTTTCCCTGCCACCACCTTTATCATTAGTAGGGTCTCATCAGTTACAAATATCATCTTTTCATTTTTCCATTTCAGGAAATGGAAGGATTCCTCACAGGTTTTTGGCTCTTCTGCCTTTCCACCTCCTTATTCTTTGCCACCCCCGTCCCCGCACCACAGAGGTCTATAGCATCTCTGTATTGAACACCCACAAAGGCCTACTCTAGGCCTACTAGATGCAGTGGATTGTCTTGGGATAACAGTGGGAACTAGGTTAGCTTGCAATCCTTTTGCCATTGTCTTTTTAGGAGGCAGAGGTCTGTTAGCCTCACTTTCCATTCAGTACTTTAGAGAAGGTGCATTGGTTCATCATGTAGGTGGGAAGTGCCTCATGAAGAAAGGCATTTGCAACCTCAGTGGGACAAATGTTTGATCAGACTCTGAGCACTTCTCCACCTCGGGTCAATGGAGTGGTGTGCTTGCATGGTACGAGAGCAGCAATTGAAGGCAAAAAGATTCGGTTCTTGCTTAAGCTGCCAGGGTCAGAGATCCCTTGTAAAACAGAGCCCTCTGAGCAGCTAATGTTCACTTCGATCAGAGAAATGGTGCCAAGTGAGCTCAGATTTTAGCAAAGCTTTTGACGGAGTCACAGATGCCAGGTGGATTTGGAAATAGTTAAGGGGTTCAATGAAATGAGTGAACAGGGAAGGGAAGCGGGCATTCTCCCTAACCTAACGTGTCAGCCAAAAAGTACTGCACTGAACCCCAATTCATTCGAAGTTGACATTAGTTAGAGTGTCTGAAGGGCCAGAAGACATCTTTTCATCTGGTTTGGAAGTAGAGAGAGATATGGGCTCAGAACTTCTGTAGAGTAATGGGACTACCTTGGGGCCCCACAGCCCTATTTCTGCCCACTCTGGATGGGGTGACAGGAAACCCAGCGGCGTCTGGAGGCCTCCTTCCATTTCTGGTTTACTCTTCACGGAGTGAGTTCCTTCTTCCCCAGTCTGTCTCTCCTTGAGACATCTGTGGGGACTGCGTGGTCAAGCCGTGGCTGGCCACAATTCTGCTCTGAAGGAAGACTATTTTCAACAGCCTAAGGAACAGGCTGTCCTGAGGGGATGCTCTGACACTGAGATTCCAGCCTCGGGATGGGGAATTCCCATCTGCAAGGCACTTGCTCCCTTCTAACAATTTCCCAGCAGCCTGCTCTTCTCTGGCAATCAAGACTCTGATGCTCCAGGGCCCCTTTCCATTCTGACTTTGCCGGTGGCTGCCCAGGATCTAGGCCAAATGCTCCACCTCCTTGGGCATCCTCTGGCCCCCTCTCTAGCTCTGGATCTCCAAGACAGGGCTTGGGCTTGGCTCCCTCTACTGCCCAGCGCACTCCCCCTACCCCCAGGCCTCCCTCAGCAGAACAGAAGGTGCCCTTTGAACAGGTGGTTTCCACCACAATCCTGCCTCTTTGCCCCCACTGCTCCAGCAGGTGGCTTCAACAGCAACCTCCCTGTGAGGAGTAGATAGAAAGCAAACACAGATTCAACAGAAAATTCTTTGTTTTTTTTCCCCTAGGCATGAATGAGAATCTATCCATTACAAAATACAACTAGAGAATTCCACAGTCATCTTTGTGATGGGAATGAGCGAAGTCCCTCTATGGAGGTCAGCTTCCTGGGGAGGGGACAAAAGCAGAGGGAGCAGACGGGGCTGAGGGGCAGCTGGGGTCAGCCCCGCACCTACTGCTGCCGGTCCCTGAAACCTACAGAAGAGTGGGCCCCTCTGCTGGCTTCAGGACCCAGTGGCCAGCCCTGTGGTGTGAACCGCTGCCTTCCCTCCTGATGGTAAGAGGGAGAAAGGACTGTGATGCCATTGTGGGCATCAGTGCTTGACGGGTACCCTGCCCCGGGAAGCTGGGGCTGCAGTGAATTTAACTCTGGGCCTACAGGGAGGCAGCCAGAAATGAAGCCCTTAGCTGTTCTATCTGAGAAAAAAGAACCTCGAACTACATCTCTGTACCAATAGAAACACTTCTATCTCTATACATAATAATCTGAGGTTCAGTGGGCCAAAACATCTGCCTTCCCTCTCCCACACCAGCCTTCACTGCAAAAAGCTCCCCCAACCCAAACCCTATCCCCATAAACTTAATACCTGCTCCTATGCTAACCAAGCTCAAAAGGAACTAGATTCAGAGGTCAGAGTAAGAGCCTGATGAGCCTCCAATGCCCTGTTTCCCTGTAGAGGCACTTGGGCCATGTGAGGTGCAGCTCAGGGATAAAGGGCAGCTTTGACTCAATGCCTACCCTACAAGAGGCCAGGCAAGGACCCTTCTCCTCAGGCCCCTGGCCAGTCTCCTCCCCACCATAGCCATATCAGCTGGAGCTGATGGTCCCAAAGGAGAGACCACAGCGACTGAGCTTCAGGTCAGGAGGTGGAAGAAGGCATGGCTAAAGTGGAAATGTAGAGTCTCTGGGCCGCCGAGGAAGGCAGGAGAAACCTGGCAGCAGTAGGAGAAGGGAAGGCGCTCTCCCCATGGCCCCTGGCTGCACTCTGAGCCCCCTTCTTTGTCAGCTTTATCTAACCCACGACTAATGTTCTCTAACAGTACTAACTTCCACTGCAGTGCAAATGAAACCCCAGTGGGTACAAGGGGCCAACTAGCTATGGCTACAAGCCATGGTGACGAGCTGTTTCTAAATGCCACTGCAGGTGATCTTGGGTGAAAACTTCCCCCAAATGCCGGTTGTTGGCCTTGTGAGAAGCAAAGGCTCAGCCGGTTGTCTTCTCCATCTCTGAGTGGGCCTGGTGGGGCAAGAGGGCTCCACGGAGGTTTTGTCTCTGTCCCAGAAGGCACAGTGGGCAGAAGAGATTAAGCGGGGGCAGGGAGGAGGAGGTGAGAGAGCTGCTTTGTGGCGGCTGAAGGAGGAAGGGGTGAAGGCAGCAGGCTGGGGCGGGGCTAAGTGGCAGGCTTCCCATGGACCCTGAAGCGGTAAATGCACGTATAGTCAGGGTGACCCCAGTTGCTGAGGATTCGCAGCTCTACCAGCTGGTATGGGGCTGTGTCGTTGCCCTGTGGGGAGAAGAGAGTGGGGTCGGGAAGGCCTGACATCCCTTGGTGCAAGCCCTGCCCCCACAGCCTTTGTGCCCCAGTCTTCCTTCAAAGAGCAGTGGCTCAGTTAAGTCACAAGGTTTTCCCTCAGCTTCCTATCAGATCCAAGGGGTCCTGGCTTCCACTGCAGCCACTGAAAAACCACAGCAGCCCTGTGGCCAGTGATCCTGCCTTCCAGATCACCAGCCTTCCTGGGACACTGGCGGACTGCTGTGGGAGCCTCCCTGCATACCTCCAAGTGGAAGGTCTGAATGGCCTCGCCAGCGTTATCGTAGGTGAACTGCCCGAGGGCCACCCCGTCTGCCTGAGAATCTTCATTTAGCCCCTGTACACAAGGAAAAGCAAAGGGAGGGGATGGATGGTCACATGAATGGATGCCAGGCCTGTGCACAAATAGCATGCTGTTAGCACATGCATCCCAAGCAATGTAGGGAAGGAAAGGAGTGGGGAGGCTGTGGGGGAGGAGGAAGAGGTGGAGGAGGACAGGCTGGAGGATGCAGTAGCAGCAGGATAAGTTGGGGAGGGGATAGGAGAACCAACAAAAGCCACCATGAGGTTGCCTTCCTTGATCCCCTCATCTGCTAGCATCTCTCTCACGAACTCAATAGACAGAGCCTTTGCCCTCCATGCCCTTGGCCTCCCTCTCAGCTTCTTCCCCTAAGCCTCTGAATGGCTTGGCACAAACCACTAAAAAGTGTGAGCCTCAATTTCTTCATCTGTTTATGTTTATGAGAAGAGTTTGTAGATATCCTAATATGGCCATGAAAAGGTATTGCCTGAAAGGAAACCCATTGGGTGTGGAAATTCCCTCTACCAATGAAGGTTGTTTAGAACCTTCTCTGAAATTTAGTCTTAAAGAGTTGCCCTAGGGGCAGCTAGGTAGCGCAGTGGATAGAGCACTGGCCCTGCAGTCAGGAGGACCTGAGTTCAAATCCAGCCTCAAACCAAACACTGTGTGACCCTGGGCAAGTCACTTAACCCCAATTGCCTAAAAACAAAACAAACAAAAACAAACATATAAAGAGCTGCCCCAAAGCCCTCAAGGGCAGTGGTGGCACAGGGGATCTGACCTCACCTCAGACACTTATCATCTGTGTGACCCTGGGCAAGTCATTTAATTCTCTTTGCCTCAGTTTCCTCATCTATAAAATGATTTGCAGAAAGAAATGGCAAACCGCTCCGGTATCTTTCCCAAGAAAACCCCAAATGGGGTCACAGAGTCGGATACGACTGAAACTACTAAAAACAGCAACAAAGCCTTCAAAATTCAGGTGACTTGCCCAAGATCACAAAGCTAGTATGTGTGAGAGACAGCATTTGCACCCAGGTCTTCTTACCTCTGTCTAACAATCCAAGCTCCCTCTCAAACATTTATATCTTGGAATGAAAGCAGTTTTTTTTTTTTTTTGGCGTGGTAGGAGCCAGAAATAGGAGAACACAGCTTTCAACAGGGCCATCTCTAAAGAGGTATATCTTAGATCACTGCAGGAGTACTTAACCTTTTTTGTGTTCTGGACCCCTTTCACAGTCTGGAGAAATCCATAGGCCCCTTCTCTGAATATGGTTTTTCAATATATAAAATGAAATATACAAGACTACAAAGGAAACCAAAAATTAATCAAAAAAAGTAATAAATAAAGATGTAAATTTTTCCCATCCAAATGCATGGGTCCCATGCACCCCTTGGGGGGAAGGGGGTCTGTGGGCTCCAGATAAAGAACTTCTGATTTACAGAAAGCACTTCTCATTTTATAAATAGAAGGATTGTAATTAGACATCAGAAAGGATTTCATGACAGAAAAATGTGTGTGAAAGACAGAATCCCATGGGCTCTGTCTCCATCCACATCCTTGGGTCTGAGAATTTTTCCTCATAAATGTGGAATTCAGCCCATGATGGGTCTGGTAAAAATATCTTCTTTGTGAATTTGCTTTTGTTTCTCTAGGACTAATGATACTTGCACTAACAACCTCAGAAGGCTGTTGTGGGGGAAATTCTATAGACAGGAGAGCTATTATTGGTAATGATCTCAGTCATCTCCTCGTGCCTTTGATTTCAGTCATTTATGTTCAAGTCTTTTTACCCCTGTTAGAATATAATCTTGAGGATACAAAAAAGTCTCATGTTTTTCTTTCTATTTCTTTTTTTCCTTTATACTTAAGAGTCCTTTTATTCTGTTACAGTAGAAATACAATAGAAGATTTTTCCATGGATGTTTGTTTACATGCATGGACTGCCTATGACTCTTTGTAGGGATCCTATGTAACAGATGAGGCAATTCAGTAATATAATGTATTGTAATATCCTTCATCAATCATCAGGCATTTATTATCTACTGTGTATCAGGTACTAGAATTAATAAATAACAAGGATGAAACAACTCCTACAAATTCAACAAGAGCTCACAAATGTGCAATACCATCGACACCCACCAGGAGAAGCTATATGCAAGGCACCAAGCAAGTGGCCTCACTACATTCTACCTGGCATACATGTGTGACAGCCACAGTACTCTGCCTGTCCAGCCTACTGGGGCTCTGAATTTAGCTTAGCAGATGATGTGACATACTGATTAAAAATTGTCGCATTTTTTTAATCTATGACTCCATCCCTGTCCTTCAAAGAGAATTCCTCCCTGTGTCCAGGGCACAAGCCCTAAACCTCAGAGTAAAAATAGAGAAGATAAATGTTTTAGAGAGAAATTGATTTCCCTGGTTTGCCAGACCAGGAGACCTTACATTAGGTTATAGTCTCCAGCACTCAGAACCTTCTCTGGCTGGGATCCCTGCTTCTGTTCCCCAGCTGATCACTTCCATTGCCCAGTTATGCCAAATGCTCAGGCTGTAGTAGTTGGTAACACAGGACTCAGACTCCCCAGATCCATTGTGCTCATCTATAGGGTAGACAGAGACAATCAGTATGACTGAAGTGTCTCTCTGTGCCCAGTAGCACAAGAAGCAGGCTGAAAGTATCTCAAGGTTAAAAGAAAGTGTGAAATAACCATTCTAAGAGCCAGCATCAAGATCTCCTTCCCTTCCTCCTACAGGCAATTTCTTCTTCCAGAAAATACATAATCTAAGACATCATTACCTCCTGTCCTCTTTCATGGTTTCTTGGCCACTACTTCCAAAACTTAATAGGAAGGGGATTTTTTTTGGCGGGGGGAGGGGAGAGAACATTTAGTGATCATCAACAATTCCTTGAAAGCTCTACTCTGTCCTCAAATTATCATCACCCCAGGTCCTAAAGTAAATCAGAATTCAGAATAGAAAAGGGCAGAGGTTACAATCTGAAGAATCAATGAGTAAATTTACTAAATCAACCAATGAATTAATGAATGAATACTATAGGGCCTTCCAGAACAGGGAGAGGAACTCACCACTCTCCCACCCAGGCCCTCCTATATACAGACATACCTCCCTTTGCTTTATTATGCTTTGCAAATATTGCAGGATTTTTTTTTCTGTTTTACACAGTGAAGGTTTGTGGCAACTCTACATTGAGCAAGTCTGTTGGTGTCACTTTTTCTAACAGTGTTTGTGCATATCAGGTCTCTGTGTCACATGCTGGTAATTCTCACAATATTTCAAAATTTTTCATTACTATTATACTGTTATGCTGCTCTGTGATCAGCGATCTTTGACGTTACTATTATAATTGCTTTGGGGAGCCACAAAATGTACTCATATAAGACGGCGAACTTAATCACTAAATGTTGTGCATGTTCTTACAGCTCCACCAAAAGGCTGCTCCTTAATAAACCTTAACAAACCTGTTAGGTCAGGAGTTAGCAAACTCTAAAAGGAAAACATCCTTTTTACAGAAAAGCCTTAGAATATGACATTTTTAAGAGCTATATCATGTTTCATGGTGAAATATGGATTTTCAATTATATGCATATAATTTATTGAAATCTAATTATAATTGACTATATTATATACTGAAATATATATTTCAATTGATGCCAGAGAGACTTTGTACCAGCCTCCTCTCTGCTGGGTTATACATTTTATGAGTTTATACATTGATACAATATTATCATAAAAAAACAAACACAATTATTCTTTGTCTTCTGAAGGCCCTTGGTATGATCTTCCTATATTTACTCCCATAAGTATGTTAGAATAAAGAGTTTATTAGATAAGCTAGTTGTTCTGCCAAGCCAAGCCTTGAAAGAAAGAAATATTTGGAAAGAAGGGCATCAAGAGAATAGACATACCCCAACAACTAGGGTGAAGGGGACCCACCCACTTCATAAGAGCTCTCTCTTTGGTGGGGTAGGAGGGAGAAGACTAACATAGCTGTGGGCCTGACTGAGCCCTCCTCGCTCTTGTTGGCTGAGAGAGAAGTCAGGAAGACAAGGGCAAGTAACCCCAGGCAAGTCACTGAACCTCTCAACACTCAAGGCAATGCTCTAAGAGTATAAGTTGCTCCTTCCTTCAAAAAAAGGTGTTGACCTACATTGAGAAAAAGAGAGTGAAAGGGAAAAATAAAGACACAGAGAGAGAGAGAAGAGAGAGGAAGTGAGGGAGAGAAAGAAAGAGAGAAATGGGGAAAGAGAGAAAAAGAGAGAAAGAGAAATGGAGAGAAAGATAAAGAGAGAAAAAGAAAGAAAAAGAGATGAGAGAGAGAGAGAGAGTTAGAGAGTGTCCTCAAAAGTGAGTTCCTGCATTGAGTCACAGATCCAGAGAAAGGGATCTCTATCCCCTAGGACAAACATGAATGAAATAGGCAATATGCAAGAAACAAAGTGTTTCTCCTACCATACTTGTGCATGTTATCCTTTATTCTCATACAATCTGATGGCTTCCAAGACTAAACATACAATGCATATGTTCTAGTGTTCAGATTCTGATCCATCCTCAGTGCTAACAGGAGAAATCCAGATTCTGCGATGAATGGCAATGAGGACCATTTGTAGATATCCTGATACTGCCATGAAAAGATATTGTCTGAAAGAAAAACCACCTAATGGATTTTCCCTCTAAAAAACCAAGGTTGTCAGCACCTTCTCTGAAACTTAGTCTTAAAGAGTTGCCCTGAGCCCTCAAGGGCAGTCGTGGCACATGAAATAGAGTGCCCGGCCTTGAGTTATGAAGACTTGAGTTCAAATCCAGCCTCCAACAATTATTAGCTGCGTGACCCTGGGCAAGTCACTGAACCCTCTTTGCCTCAGTTTCCTCATCTGCAAAATGAGTTGGAGAAGGAAAAGGCAAACTGCTCCAGTATCTTTGTCAAAAAAAATCCAAATCAGGTCATGAAGTCAGACACGACTGAAACAACTAAACAACAACAAAGCCCTCAAAAGTTAAATGACTTGCCCAGGGTCACACAGTTAGTACATGTCAAAGGCAGAATTTGAACCCAGGTCATCCTGCCTCTATCCAACAATCCAGGCTGTCTCACAAACTTTTATATCTTGGAATCAAAGCAGCTTTTTTTGGAGTGGTAGGAGCCAGAAATAGGACAATGCAACTTTCAACAGGGCTGCCTCTAACCAGGCATATCTTAGATCAGCTGCAAGAGTCCTTAACCTTTTTTGTGTACTGGACCCCTTTGGTAGTCTGAAGAAGTCTATAGACCCCTTCACTGAATATGGTTTTTAAATATACAAAATAAAACATACCAGACTACAAATGAAGCCAAAAGTTAGTAAAAATAAATGAATAGATAGATAGATAGATAGATAGA